ATCGTCAATCAGTCAGCTGCTACGTGATTTCATACGATTGAATGAAGTATAAATATATCGACAAACGACCGCTTCATTGACCTCATTGCAACATTGTGTCTTAATATAAACTACAAGTATACGCTCATACGTCAAATTAAAATAAAATTTGACTTAACAACTAGCATGGCGACTAAAATTAAATTTGTGACAAACAATCACGACCCATATTTTGAGTATCCCATTAAACACTCAATTCACAAGTACTTCTACTTCTCAAGATAATAGAACGATCGATTCACTATCACTATGCGAGCAAATAATGCCGATGAGATGAATGGTGTGTAAACAAGTAACACCTACGAGGAATGTCGTGTCGCACGATTATTCTATCGATTCTATTAATTGCCCGCTAAAATACAATTAGAAATCAAGACGCAACTGGATTAGTACGAGTCGATAAGATAAACCTAATTGAATGTCCTATTATACCGACAACGGAGCGCGATACGTGGGGTGACAAAGGCATTCGCGCGGCGATTGCACAACGACGATGTTGACGATAATGGCAACGAAATTGCGAAGAGGGTGAAGTAGCTGTATGCCTAGAGGGTTTTCGTTGTTCTATATTTACCTACTCGAACTCGGATACTCTCAAGGAAGATCTATGTGACACATGCTTTGTTTCAACTCGCACAAAAGTACAAACAAGGAAATACATCCTTTTCCAATTATTATTACATAGATATATTTTAACACGTTTTGAGCACGTGAATAAAACAAATTGATATTACTCAGTTATCTCTCGGCGGATTTATTGATTTTTAATTTGAAAACATTGATATTATTCAACGCATTCGTCTCGTGAATATGAATTGCTGTTTTAACAGACAATGTTGTGCCGGAGCGTCGAGTGCTGATTTAATAAGTTATTAATTTCATATGAAACTAATTGATTGATATTTATACTCTAGATGTGTGAGAAATACATAGCTTTTAATTACATGATGACGTAATTTGAAGTTGCCATGGCAACAACTCCCACAGAAAAGTGCCGTATTTTCTAAAAACAGAATTATGCCAGTACTAGTCGTTTGAGTCAAACGCGTTTGCGTAAATATTTTTTTTATGTATTATTATGCTATTTAACACGGTGAAATATTCTTTACGTTTGGAAAACATTTCAAAGTAGAAGCGAGAGTGGTGTCCCGATAGACGTACTCCGTTGGGGTTATTTGTCGGTTCGATAACCTCGCGTCGTTTTTTACATTATCAATGTCCGAACAGAACCGGGTGTACGATAATTTATGAACGCACTTAGCGATAATGTAACGAAATTTCGGAACAAATGTTTGTGCAATGATCATTTACAACTGGAAATTTCCAGTCGCACGACATTTCTGATCAATAAATCTTTAAATATTTAATGCAATTGATGAAAACAAATCATAAAAAATAGTAATTAGGTTAAGGTTAAAACTTGTTGTTTGTGTGGGTAATTTGCCCCAAATTTTGATACATTTGCAGAATTACCTTTAGAGTGTCACGTAGTACAGGTGCATTTGGGAATAAATTCATCACACCCACGCGATTCATCGCTTACACTGGGACACACGCCCAGGGTACCATACTAAAAAATATGTACGAGTATACAATGAACTAACACGAATTTACAGTTTAGTTTCCGACATTTTCCTTTGCTTCACGCCAACATTTCCTAAAATCTATTTTAACAGCGCTCAGCACGCACAAGGGTGCTATGCATTTAACGTTTCATCTGTTATGTGATAATTGTAGCCGTAAATTTAATATATGCAGACATTGATCACGACTATTTGCATATTTTTTCTTGACTTGTAATGAGAGAAACACTCGAGGTGTGTGCTTTAAACTCGGAATTCATTCTGAATGTTAATTTCAAATCAACAAGTGTGCTGATAAGGAAGATATATGGTGTTAATAACTCTAGGATAATATTACTTGCGAAAAAGTAAAAATAGAAATAATTTTCTGCAGCGTGGTGAAAATTCTATGATTTAACTTTTGTTATATCACTGCTATCTGCTTTAAAAATTCAATTACTGCAGCAAGTTAGCGGAGAAATTAATTCCACTCCAGAGACCACGCGCATCATGATCGAATACACACCATTCTCTAAGGCCTAAAATGATCGAGCGATGTTGTTAGAATTCTCTTATATCACTCCCTTTTCACCCTATTTCTTTCTCAGCTACAATGCGATTATGCAAACAATGGGAAAGATTGTAATTTAAAATACGCCGACCTTATTTCTGTCTTTTTTCTGTTGGTTTCTTCTCTGCCTCCACGTGCACAATGATAGTGCATAGCAAGTTGAAATTAAAATGTTTGTTAAGAGATTTTTCCTTTTGACTGAGTTGAATCTTGAATTACATAACTCATACACGTGATGGGATAATAATTGCTTGTATGTGTGTATCCGGAACATCAAAACAGGTTCAGCTCGTCACTAGTGACTCAGAGAATAATTCAAAAAGTTCCGAGATATTCTCATAATCTATGACTATCTCTCAAGGCGACTAGGTGAGCATCTTGCGGTTAAAGCTGTTGACTCTTCACGAACTTCACAAAGTCACTTTGTAAAGTTTGATCGAGCGCGAGCGCAGCGCGCATTTCCAAACTCGGCGGTACGAACATATACTGTGAACTTTTCTAAACCGGAAATTACAATTCAGAAGTGAAAGTTACTCAACTTGTTGATGTTGATATGTTACTACCAGTGTCAAACTAGTTCCTACTAAACTAGATAAACGCATTACGCTGAATTTCGCCAAAACGATTAAGTAAATAAAAAAATACTCAGCATCAGCTGAGGAGATATTAAATTATAACCAGAACCAGTACAATAAATAAACAAATTGGAGTCACGTGTGCCTGAATAAATTACATACTTATTATCACGACGAGCTCGTAAAAAGACTATAAAATTTATGAAATCGTTGATTTTAATATGAATTATGCGATTTACAAGCGATAATGAGCAATTTACAATAACATTAATGTTTTGAGTGATACATCAAAATATTTTTTTCCGTGTAAACCTGTTTTATAAAGAAAATCTATTTGATTTGTGGTTTTAATAAAGAAATATACACTTTGTGTGAGGCTTGCGATTAATAAAAGGACCTTTTATGGTGTACTTATGTAGATATTTTCAATTACTGCGTGGATATTAAAACATAAAAAAGAAGTAAAACATTATTAGCTTTCCGCATTTCCTTATAATTCAATTTCGTTTTGGTGGTGGTACTGCGCACACGGATCGTAAATCCCAGCTGATTTCTTACGACCGACCTTTTTGGGCCGCCTCCGTGAATATGTTCCTGTCGCTAGATTATCGATATTAAAAATATGTCCGCTTCATAAAGAAAAATGTTTCTATTCATAATTGAAATATAGTGTCATCTGATTTTTTTACTGCATTAGACTGAATAAATCGAGATAAATTTTATTGCACTCATTAAAATGAGTATTTCTGATTAATTTTATTAGCCCGATGATCTACATTTAGAATTTTATTGAATGAGATCAGATTTAATTGCAATATTAAAACGTAAATGATTTATGGAGCAAAATAAATGACAAATCATTATAGAATGCTTTGTAGAAATAAAATATTTATCATTTTTGTTTGTAACTTTGTTCATCAACTGTATTTAATATCACGTCACTCAACCAGTAAGCAGTAAAGAAAAATGAAAAAGTTTTTCATAACGCGATAAGTTTCGCCCCGAACTCTTCAGCGCAGAAAAATGAATATCCGCGCAAAATACATTAACTTTTTATGCGAGCGCGTCGAGCACAATAAACGTTTTAAATTCAAATAAACTTTATCTCCGCCTAATGTAGGTATATATCTTTATTTATATTTTGCTTTATGCACTTGCGCTGGGAAAGTGTGCTCATTATTTATTAAACCCAAAGTTTAATAGAATAATGGTGCGTTTCCGACAATTGAGCGTGCAGAACTTTTCATGATCCTTCACTCTAATAGCCCTTCACAATATAAAAATGACAGCGCACACAGAAGCGTAAATCAAACCGTTTTATTACTCCAGGAGTCGTTGGATGATTTCAATTTATTAACTCACAGATCGCTGTGTAGAATATACGTACATATTTCGGCTTGCGAGCTTAAATCCTCCACACAGAATGCGTTAATCGTAAAATATTAAACGGGGTGAAATCTGTAATATCCTTGCTGTGCGCGCTCGTAAATATAACATGAACACGTCGAGAAATTCACAAGGTTTTTGCCAACAACATTAAACGCCAATCAATAACACATTCTCACGTGAAACTTGCGCCACAATGGCTTAACAACGAGAAACAAACGCAGGAAAGGAAACAAAAAGAGTTGCCGCTCAAAAAACCGCACGACATGCACACACAAAAAATCTACCTACTTTCGTCCAAATGACCTACCCCCGAAGCTTTTATTTTTTACTTTGAGCCCGCACGAGCTTTTACCGCTTTTAAGCGCGACAGGTTAATACACTGAGATCGAAAAAGTAGGCGTAGTAAAAGGAAGGATAAATAAATTCATGAACAACCGAGGGGTAGCAAAAAACAACATTAAATATACATAAATATAAGTGACTTAGATCATTGAAAGAGCAAAAGTGAGTATAAAAAAATCACGAATTTACTTTGATCAATATGCCGTTTTTTTTCTTTACTACTTGCGTTGTTTTCGTTCGTTTGAATGCGGCGGCGGCGACGGCGGATGTACGGAGTGTCGCGACGCTCGGACGCATGCATTAAACACAAATATGTTTCATTGACCGCGCGCAAACACGAAAGCAAACCTAACTGAACCGAACTCAACTGAAAAACATCATCTAACTTTTCGATTCACGCATCACGCACATGGCGCTATTCACACATGCCGCGATTTAATTTCAAATTATATTTTGAATAAGTTAATATTTTTTAAATGTTTAACTTAAGTGTAGTAGCAGTAAATCCAAAAATAAACTCACCTTATTTGAAAGCAGGACAATGGATCAGGTCCACGACACGGACGCGTTGATATTGTTTATTCGTAAATTTAGACCAACGAGCGATGCAAGCGTGCGGCGGACGCGCTGCTACTGAATCGTCGACGGAAGGTGGACTGCGGTGAAACGTGTGCGGTTCGATCGAAACGACGCAACGCAAACGGCGGCGGGTAAAAGCGCTAGATGCTGCAACACGGTGGTGGAGTTTCCACACTGGCCTCGCACGCCTGCCGCTAACTCTGTTTTATTCGCTTTTCACTACCACATCGCGATCCCCACCGCCGCCCGCCGCCGCGCCGCAAACCCACCACCAGCGGCGTCAGACCCGCGGACGTGGACACGTTGGTTAGGACGAGTGTCGTGCACATGCGCCGAAAGGGGGGTGTACCGACAGGCTCAATGCGCTTAGATTACAATCGACGATAATAACAATAACACGCCGCGGCGAGAGCATCGCCGCGATAATGCGTGCGATAAGCGCGCCCCGGCGACGCGCATGTGTCCATTGTTTAAACTAGCTCCCCAGCACGCAGAAGTCATTATCGTCGCTTATTGTCACAACATTGCTGGTGGCTCCGGAGGCCCTGGGCCTTTGTAGGCCTCTTTGGTCATTCAATGTGCCACAATATTCTGTAGGATTTTATTGTGCAAATAGAATCAGGAACCATATCACCGTGAATAAAATTGTATATTGTAGATTAAGTGTGTAAAATTAAGTTTAAAGTCACACGAATGAGTATATAACAATCAGTTTTACGGGTTTAACTAAAAACCAGAAAAAAATTACAATTTTGAGGTTAGATTAACGCAAAACTGGGTTATGTATATCAAATTATACATGGTTGCCAATTTGGCAACACTGCAATTTGAATGAACTAAACAATCGTGTTACCGTGTTATGATTAATCATTTATCATTGTAATTTGCCATAAAACTATAAAATAGAGTGTTTTAAGAATTGCCATTCTTGCGTGATCCGTTTCTACTAATTAATTAATAACTTTGTCTCAAAACTCTATACCACGTGTTTGATACCCCGCATACTGCACCTACACTACTTTTTTTATTCTATTTCGCGACACATCTGCAACATTCTCACGATACACACTAAAAAACAGCATTGTCACTGAATAAATTGTAGCGTAACGCTATTTTGCTTGTTTGCTTTGATGTCCCTAATAATATTAGCAGCCTGCTGGTAGTAAAACCGGCTCTGGAACTGCATTAATTGAAAGTTGTGACCGAGAAGTCCACTATCATTCTAGATATACAAAACAAACAAGCTAATAATTTGTGTTGTCACTTTCTTCTTGGTCTACAAATTGAATTATTCAGTAGTTGGTTAGAGATATTAGTTTTATTTTAGGTTGTTTTGTGTTTACTCGTATCTGCTCGATATTGCATTTGTTAAGGTTTGTATCTTCATGTTTCATCATTTAAGTCAAGGTTAATACATAACATTTTTGTTTTGCATACATTTTGTATGTTTGTGTCATTAGTAACCTAGTTAAACGTTGATTTAACTTTTTAAATGTTGATAACAGTTAATGGAAAGATTAATTAAGATATTAAGATATTAGTATTGATTTAGTGCAAGCAGGGCAACAAGTTAAAATATTTATTAAGAAACTTTTATAACTTTTGTGAATTTTCTATTGATTATTTATATAAAAATATTAAAAATGCATTTCATTTGACTTGATGAAGTTTGTTCGGTCATAACCTCGTTTTTGCATTAATCGGAAATGAATAAAATAGATTTTATCTGTTGCGACTAGACGTGATGATCAAATCAAAACTCGTAAAGTCGTAAAATATTAATTGAACTCATTTGACTCCATCAGCTGTGGACAATATTTACATCTGTTAATTATAAAAACCGAATATAGCAGACAATAATTTTATGGTACTTGTTAAAACGTTCTTTTAATTGTGATAATTGAACAAATAATTTTTAATCGCGACTATTGTTTCCTTTCAACTCTGAACTTTGGATTCAGAACAATAACATTCAAATTGCTTTGAAATGCATGCAAAATGTTACGTTTACAATTATAATTTGCATAATAAAACACAACATGCACACAAATTGAGAGTACAAAATGGAAAAATGTGCAATTAGTGTACTGTGAAATTCACGACAGCGTGAATTGACCGTAATCATTATTACAATGATGAAAATAATATGAAACGGGAACGATGGATTTTCACTGTCTGGTTATAATTTCCATCCGAAAATTAAAACCGAATTGTGACCTAGAACCTTACATTAACACGATTCATGTAATTTATGTTGCAATGACAAATTAACATTGCAAAGTTAATAATTTCAAGTTGCATCCGGAATAAAAGCTTCATAATTTATGTATTATTAAACGTATAATTAACGCAGCACTTGTTAGTTATTGAATAAATTAATTAAATGTGCAGTGTGTTTGTATTTAGTGATAATTCTTTACTTAGGCAATTTGCACTATTCATTTTATGCCCGCCATGTCTATTTGTGTCGTTTCGTTAATCGCATTTTAATACTTTCGCAGTCATTTACGTATTTGCCTGACTGACTCATTTGTCTATGCCTGTCGGCGCATTTGTCGCGCGCGTCGTCGAGACATCTTAACTAATCACGTCCATCATTTTCGTATTAATTAAGTATAAGCTAGGCGGCGAATATGTTGGCATGGCTATCTAAGCGAGATATGTCATTAGAATTAATAGCTGTTGCTGAAAGACCGACTGCAGGCACGCGCGCAAGTCAGTGTGCGCGATAATATCACTGTACAAATAAATACGTCACTGTTATCATCGAGCCTCATTAATCATTAATCATTTCATCCGATTGTGGATGCGCTTGTTTGTGAATATTTTGATGTTGTAACAATCTTTTTTTCGTACAAATAATTTCGTCATTCTGTTGTTTTTCTCACATACTTACGTTAGTTTAAAAAACAACCAATAAATTAGAGTGTCTAATTATGTTTTGTCCTTATTTAAACGTATTAATTATCAATTAATGGAAAGTTTTAATATTCTAATATGTGTATAGAAATATTTCGGCTAGAAATTATGTTATGATTGTGATAATTTTGCTGACACAATACACTCAGTATTTCAAGTGTAAGTCAAGAAGCAGAAGTGCATTTAATCACTAATGAAATGATTTATCAACGTCAATATTTGCAATTTTAATCTACAATTGAAGCCTTTGTTAGTGTACCGAAATAAATGGTTATGTCATTAATCATTAAATAGAAATAGATTTATTTTAAGCAATGCATCATGAGAAATAAATAATTATAGCATTGCGTCGAGTGGGTTGCCTACTTCCATGTTGCATTTTATAGGTTATATAACTAACTTAATTTAATATTTTGGTTTAAAAATGTAGAAATGAGTTATATTTTTAGGTTGCAGACTAATTTTATTATCAATATGAAATAATCAATATTCACATTTGCATTGTCTCGGCAAAGTAATTAAAATTAAACATATATGCGTATTAGTTATTTTTTTTTGGATACAACGTGGTTGCGGCGTGATATTACCGGAAAATTGTCTAATTTACATACTCGCCAAAATATTTTAAATAATAAATATTATTTTGCTTATTATCATGGGTAAAAACCATGCACAACATTTGTAAGTTTATTTTTAGCATTGCGTAATGCAAATAATTATTTAATATATTTGTAGGTAAGCAGCACATAAAAATAATTGCGGCGTCGATTTGAGTAGATAACTTCAAACTTTTTAGACTTTAGATAATCAAGCCTTTACATGATTCTAGGAAATTAGGAAAGAATTTAAGTACGTACTTACATTCACAAAAACTGATAATCCTTTTAAAAACATCATCATTATTTTCATTCCACGTTGTTTTCTTCCATGACTTTATTTTGTAGTAAAGGTATTCTTTAAAATTTTCCGCTCTTTAACTCAATTTGGGTTTGGACTTTTGTGTTTCCGGTTTTTAACTTTACATAAATATATTATGCTTAAGTGTTTTTAAATGCGTCAATTCGGTAATACGTAATATTGTAAATAATATTGGTCACAACCACAACACGCATCGCATGCTTCAATCGCAAACATTGTAATAGCATTGGTAACATCATAATTGGATAATTATTTTGGTGGCATTACAAAATGTACGTATGTGGACGAGTAATGGAAAATTACTTCGGTCACGACATGTGTCATTCCAACATGTGCGATGCGTATTTTTCATCTTCAACTCTGGTGACCTTGCCTTCTAAAGAAGTTCGTTGAATTATTTAAACAAAGGGAATTAACGTTTGTTACTTTGCTAGACGAAAACCGCAAGTATTTGTCTGGATGTGTTCATCGTAAACACATACATGCACTTGAACTCTTTGTTGTTGGATTATTAACGTGACATGGTTTTTTGACGCTAATCAATGGTTAAATAAAAGTCTAAGCGCTGGTACACGTGATTTGCTAACAAAACGCGTGCATTTTTAAATGGAACAAACCATTTGCGCTAATTTTTTGATTTTACTACGCCGTGAAAAGTGTAAGTGAGTAAATTGTGCAAACATTGGATAATTGTATTTGTTTACAATTTTCTTTGTGTTGATGTGCGTTTATAGCCTCGTAGTTTTGTAAAATTTAAGAAGCAAGCTTTAAAAATAATGTATTGAAAACATCTGACATTATGGCAGGAACCGATTTGTATTGTATGTTATTATTTCATTTTATCGTGACTTTAGCAATTTTCTCATTCATACTTTCATTACGCAATCGATACTGTTGTTTTGCGTTTTCATATGCGGAGACAATAATTGAAATAACTTATTTATGCGTTCGGTTACGTGACATACATCGACGAAACGACGCACTCGAACTGCGACTCGCGTTTTGATTCGATCGTTTGTTTATTTCATGAAATGTGTTGCATGTTTTCTTTCGAATGATTTTCTACCAAGGCTGTAGATCCACGTGTAGTTACTACCTGTCGGGCCACCCTCATTAAAATGGGTTAGACATGTCTAGCCCGACATTAAATATGCATTTGTTGTCTTGCACTCCTGCATTTGCCTTGAATGAGGGTATGAGGGCCCGTAATTATAATTTTAAATATTTCATTGTATGAAGAAAAAATGTAGTAGGTTATAGTTTTTTTGTCATTTTTCAATACGTATTTTTATTTTAGTTCGACTTAACTTAACACAATGTCTTTTAAATGGTTTAATAATGATCATCGTCCCTATGTTGTTGTTATATTAATTTCAATGCCAATCAGAAACTTCCTCATTTATTTTATGATGATGCCATGCTCCCCGAATTAATTTATTACATCATTTTCTCTACTTGCCACAACTACATTGTTTTCGTTATCAGAAGAGCTATTACATAAATGTATATTTGAATTGACGCAGCCAGACACAACAAAATAAACAACATTTAATTTGATTTCAAAGAACCCGTCGGTGATAACCATTAACATTTGTTATATATTCAAATTTGGCGAATTTTGATTAACGAAATTCGCGGGTAGTGTTAACGTTTGTTTAAAAAAACAATTATTTCCCACAATAACGATATTATAAATTATTTGTAAACCATTTCACAAATATTTGTATAATAAAATTGGAAAGCAATGCTGATAATTGGTTTGAATGCAATTTTATGACATGTCTGGTGTTGATAAACGCTTTTTTATTACACTAGCTTTATACATACAATTATTTCTGTTTGTCATTAAATATTTATCTTTCGTCCGGAAGAATCGATTTTATTCTTAAAGTTATATTCTGATATATGCAACCACAACTACTATATTACATAAAATAGTTGGGTTCAAGCGGTAGGATAATAATAATCGGTGTATTCCTTTAGGCAACTTAATATACACTCAAGAATTGTGTTGAGATGTTAAGTAACTAATTTTAATTCACTTTTGATGTGTCATGTAACTTTTAGCAAAGTTCGCTTAATTAAACTGGTTTATCTTAGAATTTATTTGTGAACTTAATTTTAACCCGTATTAATCAGTAAAACTAAATAATTTAGAATCTTTGGCATCCCAGTGTAAAAAAATTGAAACCTGTAAGCGGCATAATAATTCTAACCCAAGAAAACTAAGTCACACTCAACTTTTTACAAATTTAATATTGTTTTGCAAGTTTTGGCATTAATTTTAAAAATAATAGTTAATCATGTACTGGTTGATTGTGGCAGTATCTTCTGTTTTCGGAATTTATATATTATTGAAACCACAATTTATTTGATTAAAACAATGCTACAAACTCTTAATCCTACACCGCACAGAACAAAAATAATCATTATCAATCAAAAATAATCAATCATTCTAAAATAAGAATTAACCATAAAAAAGAAAACGATTGTGTTATTTATGATATATAATACTTTATTTATTATTGCACTTTAAATACAGTTTAAATTATAATATATCAGAAGCATTTCAATGCATGTATAGACAATTAATACACATAATTAAATACATGGTTACTTGAACAAATTGCTGGGGTATACAGATGGATCTACCAGCGGAGACCATTTTCGATAGCATCGATTCGATAAGTTAAATGTACCACAGATTCTTAGCGTTTAAATCCTAGAACGACTAATGTGCAAGAGTAATCCACATTGTCTTTAATAATTGTATCCGCTTTGTGGGCTGAATGATCCGCTCGGTCGTGGTGGCACGTACGTCCTGCCGGCGCCACCGCCACCGAATCCTCCTCCACCGCTACCGCCCGAACCGCCACCAAATCCTCCACCGCCACCACCACCGCTTGGTTTGTACTGTCCGTCGTCGTTGCCGCCGCCGCGAGCCGCTTCCGCTTTGTTCTGCTCGATTGAGCGAAGGATGGCTTCCGGAATTGGTGGTGGCGTTGGCAGATGGGCACCGACTGGTCGGAAACCATTCTCGTCAGCTACGTACTGAATAGAGTATTGTTGACCGTCTGGACCGGTGTAAGAGAAGGAACCTTGGGCTGTCACTGCATCTTCAGGACCACTACCCTAAAATTTGCAGGGAATTAGTTTAAATTTTTAGTTTTATATAATTCTTACTTTGACTTGTCCTCTTTCTTGGGCTTGGATACCATTGCCAGTTTCATAAGCGTAGTTGTAGTTGCCAGTACCATCGTTATCATTGTCGTATCTTAAAATAGGAATGTTGGCACCTGCGCCACCTCCACCACCACCGCCGCCTCCGCCGGAATAACGGCCTCCACCGCCTCCTCCTCCACTACCACCACCGCCAAATCCTCTACTTGGCGCTCCTCCAAAGCCTGGACTTTGATATCCACCTGCACCACCAGCGCCCGCTGGTGGCAGGTAGGTGTTATCCAAGCGGGCGCAAAACGCCGCTCCAACCAGAGATAATATCACAAACTGAACAAAAAATAAATAAAATTAGTTACAACTTACATTTGCAAATTAAATTTGCGATTAAATAAAATTCAATCAAGTGAAGCACTAGGCACTTACAAATTTCATATTTTTGCTTAGAATACTTATTCGCAAGTGAATATTTCCTCGGAGGATGCAAATGATTTATATAGTAAGTGCCGACGATGGCAAAACCGCCCCCACCGCCGTGTTCCAATTGTAAACGAAGAAGTCCACAAGACATCTTCGTACGTGTCGATGATGATGACGAGCGCGCGATGATGATCCTCGGCATTTGAAAATTCCCCCAATTGCTCCTCGTTGCGATGGAATTTGCGCGCCGCTCATGATCCAGATCATTGCGTGCCTCCTAAGAGGCGTCATATTGTGCGCCTCCACGGTTTACTGCACTCTTCTTCGCATCGGTCGAGCTGCCTACGACCAAGGCTGATAAAATATGCATGCATACGATCAACCTGCTAATGCAATTACGCGCGATGCATTTATTTTAACTCCACACGATGCACATAGTCATAATTCATACAGAATTTGCGCATATTCAAATTATCCAGTCAATATCAATCAAGACAAGTCAAAATCATAATGCACCTACATTATTATTATTAATTTGTTGCGCAAGTTTCTATAAACTATCAATTTATCGTTTCAAAATGTTTTACTTAGAATTTGAATTTTTGCGAAAAATTTTAAGTGGTTATAGAGTTATTTCACAATAATTAACTGATTTTTTCGTAAAATGAAGTAAATTATAACGTTAGAGCATCACGAACTTAGCATTTACGCACTTTATAGAATAGATTTTCACTAATATGCTAAATAAATTTAACTTGGTAAAATAAGATCAATTATTTAACGATGTAACATTTTTAATATTTTGATTTTTGAGGAAAACAAGTACTTAATTATGATAAAATTATTAATCTATTAGATATATCAAGTAAAATTACTTTCTAATCAAATTTATTACATCTTTAAAATTTTATTATTTAAAATTTAATTTTACCTTGCATTATTTATTACTATCTATCTATTTATCGTTGAATAAATCTTAAATTGATTCTCAATTTGTTACATCGTTAAAATAATTTTATAGCTGACCCTGTAATAAAGCAATGCACCACACACTCTTATAATTATGTTGACTTATATTAAGCGTAGTCATCAACAAAGAGATAAGTATACTCGTATGAATCCATGAATATCCCGTTGCTAATTAACATGATTAACGTCTTCAAGTGTAAGACTAGAAGCAGCAGGTAGCGTTGCTGGAATATTCTATTATACTATCTTCAAGACGCAATTAGAAAATAATTTATGGCTACCAGAGTCTTAAAAAAGTACCAGTTTAGTTTAAGTATCATCCTTGTGACAAATTGCACTAATTTTCCGCTTAGTTAATGAAATGAAGTTATTGGAGACTTAACAAGGTGTCGTTATCGTTTCGCAACAAGCAACAAGTGCAGACATATTGTACTCTTCTTGACAGGGACAAATTGACGCTGATGTTGACCCAATTATTCCCGATTACGATCTGTACGATTCAATTACAATGCACCAATGCACGAATATGTCATACGGTATTGCACCGTCATCGATATTTCATCTTCGATTTGATTCCTTACACAACTTTTGTTGCATTCTTGCAAATACTTTCAGTACTTATTTGGATGTGCTATAATAGGATTGTATCATGTTTCATATGTCATAAAATTGTAATAATAACACTATATTATATATATAATGTTCTTGGCTCCTATGTGGAGCATAGAGCCTCACTAAGCGCCTCCAACGGACTCTGTTTCGGGCAACCGCCTTTGCTTCGTTCCAGCCCATATTTTGGTTTCGGAGCTCCTCTATTGTGGATCTTCGCCAGGTATTGGCCGGTCTACCAACCCTTCTCTTCCCCTGTGGGTTCCATTCTAGCGCATTTCTGGCGATATCTCCGGCGTCTCTTCTCAAGATGTGCCCAATCCACCCCATTTTCTCTTGCGTATTTGATTTATAATGGGAGTTTCATCACATCGACGGTGCAACTCATCGTTGGAGATTGTCATTGGCCAGAATATGCGCAAGATCATTCTCAAGCACTTGTTTATGAAGGTTTGGAGTTTGTGTGTGCTTGAGCTCGTTGACCTCCATGTTTCGCATCCATATAAAAGGGTGGATTTTACATTTGTGCGGAATATGCGCAGTTTTGTTCTTAGTGTATAGACGCTTGACTTCCATACTGTGCTCAGCATTCTGAAGGATTGCTGGGCTTTCTTTATTCTGTTGTTTATATCTGCGTCGGTCCCCCCTTTTATGTCAATTATACTTCCTAGATATAGGAATTCCTTGACCTCTTCTATTTCCGTATTATCTATTTGGAGTTTTAAGGTGTTGTTTGTATTTATACGCATTTCTTTTGTTTTGGCAATATTTATTCTTAGGCCAATTTTACTTGCCTCCCTTGCTAATGTTGTTAGCTGTCGGCTCACGCCTTCGAACGTATGTGACATCAGGCAGATGTCGTCGGCGTAATCCAGGTCGCTGAGGTGCGAGGTTAGTGTCCAGCGCAACCCATCCCTGTTCTGGTCTACCTTTGCTAGTATGTAGTCTAAGGCGATGTTAAATAGTAATGGGGATATGACACATCCTTGTTTTACTCCTCTGTGTATCGTAAAACTTTCGCTTTTTTCACCGTTGTGTAACACACTGCAGTTTGCATCAGTGTAGAGTTCTTGCAGGATGCTTATTATCTTTGTTGGTACACCTCGCGACTTAAGGATCCTCCATAAAGCGTCGTGGTTCAGGCTGTCGAATGCTTTCTCAAAGTCGATGAAGGCGATGAATAGTGGTGATCGCCATTCTACTGATTGCTCGATAATTATACGAAGGGTATTGATATGATCGATGCATGAGCGATTCGGCCGAAAACCTGCTTGGTTCGGGCGCAGGGTGTTTTCTATAGTTTCCGCTAATCTTGTTTGGACGATTTTCGCGATAATCTTATTAATTGTGTTTAATAGCGTTATGCCACGCCAGTTGTTACACTCGGTCAAGTTACCTTTTTTGGGAAGCTTGATGATTAGCCCTTCTTTCCACTTGGTCGGAATCTTGTTGTTGTTCCATGCTTCCTTAATACAGTGGTATAGTTCATTTGCCATCCATGTGGCGTTTACTTTTAGTAGTTCCGCTGGAACGTTATCAGCTCCTGCTGCTTTGTTGTTCTTAAGCGTCTTTATAGCTGCAGTTATCTCCGCGACTGAAGGCGGGTTCGAGTCAATGTTCAGTTGTCTACCTGGGTTATTCTCTGGCTCCCAGTTAATTGTTTCGTTTGCGCTGAGCATGTCGGAGAAATGTTCCTCCATCTTTCGAGCTGCTTGTCTGACTCAACTAACAGGCGGCCGTTTTTGACTTAATGAAGTGTGTGCGTGTAGAGTACTTATTGAGTACTTATAATAACACTAAATATATTTAATTCATGAGAAAACAAACCGTGAACAATTTTAAGTGGAAGTTTAAAGTATTTTTGGTTTATTTGGTTGCCTAACGTGTGTTAGTCTAATTTCGTACAAAAATCAAAAGAAATAAATTCAAGGTTAGATTTCTAATACTTTGGAAATTTATAACAACATTTTTTAAATATTTACAAATAATTCCATTTCTTATATAGTCAAAGATATTCTAATATAATTAAATGCTTAAATAAATTAATTAATTTAATTTATTTTGTTCTAAACAATTGATATTCCAGTTTAAGTACATTAATCGCATTTTAATAAGCTTCACGACATTACTGTTTTACATACCGATTTCCTAATCAAAGAAGATTTCATGATTTCAAGTTAATATCGTTGCATATAAGGTATAGTTGTAAACCAACGCTACCAGCGACATAAAATGAATTTCATCAGATCAACGCGCACATCGTCAACTAATGCACGCGCATAAAAACAGCAATTAAAGATGATCGCAATAAATACCGATGCACGCTAAAGCAATTCAAATTAGGTTTCTGAATCGTAACAAATCGAAAAGTTGTCGTTCTTGATCTTTTCAAGAGTGAATCTTTTAATATTATTATTAATATGCACGGTTTACATTGTGGCTATAATAAATCAGTGTAATATAATTTAATTACATTTGTACCAACAGGTCATAAAAGACACTTGATAATATTACCCAATATGATTCATTATAAATTATATTTTTATCAATTATCAGAAGTTAAATTTTGATATTGTTTAGAAAATATTAATGCTATTATGCTTTTCTATATATAAAACTATCCACAATGTAGAATAAATATTTGCTCTTAATAATTTATTTAACATTTTTATTTCGATCAGTTTTATAGTTTTTTACAAGTTATTGCCATGTTAACATTCAACTTCATGAATCGAGTCGTCGAGATGCTTCACCACATGCCATCGGCATTAGACCAGCGCAAAATGTGTGGACATGAAGTTTTGATTAATAGGCTTAAGCGAAATAAATAAATCTCATCAGGCAAGATGCTAACGACAATTAACTACTTACGTAAGTAGTAAAGCAGTAGCTCACACACGACGCCTGGATGAAATCAATAATTAAACCTAGCTTCTTCTTTTTTAATTAAAATCACTGCTATTTATCTTTTAATATAAGGATATACTTGTTTAAATGTTAGATTATCTAACTATTAGAAATAAAATGTGTTTGTTATTTAATCTTTATCATTAGTTTTAGTTGGATGGAGATATTTTATTTTTCTCTTTATTTTCACTTTATGCGCAAATTATGTTTGACCAGGCAAATCGCCTGTACCACACGCTGACATCATATTTTTAAAGTTAATTTAACTTGTCCCTAAAACTAGTTATTATATAGTTTAACAATTAATTTTAATTGATGACTTTACATTTTTGATAATATGTAGGTTATGAAAGTGAAATGTAAGACTTTCATCGAATGTTTAAAATGTTAGTGTCTCTAGTAATACACAAAAATAAACAAGAAAAGGCAGGAATAATCGTGTACCTCATTAAATTCAGGTGTAAGCAGTGAAAAGAATTTGAAGATAGAAAAGAAGCATCGTCCGAGTTTACTGATGCTCTGTGTAAAAGGTTAAAAACTATTCGTGTCTTTCGACCATTGCGACACGAAATTTGAATTGTATTTCGTTACATTAGTTACATTTCGTGCCTTATGTTTTAATATTTCATAAAAACTCTCCGCTGGTCTGATTCACCTTCGTGCAACGAAAATGCATCGAAATTTCTCTGCAGTAAAAATGCAGCATCACGTCTACTTGCACCAGACTAGCAAAATAAGTATTATGTACGTTTATTCCTGCGAATTGGGATGATCAGTAAAATAACCTTTAATCGTTTCATTGCGACATTCATAAACCAATTTTATACAACAAAAAGTGGAATATTTTTATGAATGAAAGGAAATTTCTTTTAGTAAAATCGCATTGTTACATTAAACCAAAATTGATGATTTCTAGTTTCTAATTTAACGAAAACTCATGATATCAACAACTTTGGTTGTATGTTACCTTATTTCCTACAAATTACTCTCGAGTATTGTCCAAGATTAGTCTTGGATGAGTCTAAAGTTTAAAATAATGATCCACAATGCCTGTAATAACCGCAGATAAAATAACGAAATGTGGGTGTTGGGTGCCATCATCGTAATAGTTGTTATTAGATTTATTTATGGTGGCTTTTTGTTCGGATTAAGTAATATTGAGCATTATTTCATCGAAATACACTATTGCTTAATAAATCGCATAATGTGCGCTGTGCAGCGAAACACGTTTGTTTCTCTCTGAATAAAATTTAATTAAAATGGGTGATTCATTTTTTTTTCAGTCCGCAAGCAATTATTATGTTATCGTTTGCACACCAGGCAAAATTCGGACAATGATGTTCTACTAACTCTGTTTCGTTCGCAATCAACGTGAACGAGAAAAGAAAAGTAAAGGAATGTCGGTGCCTTGCGGGCATTTTCGTGTTATATTGAATTCCATTTATTACGTTACATTACACCTACATCGGTGCGCGCATTCAACGATCATATTCGCATTATACCCGCAAATTATTTACCACATTAAACCGAAGTGTGAAAATAAATATGATGCGTAATTTATTCAACTCACATCAATAAATATTTGATAGTTTTCAGTTTGTGTCCTTTTGGCACAAATGTGCCTGCATTGCAGTGATTTTAAAGTTTAAGTGCGATATCGTGCAATAAAATGTCGAAAACCGCTCGCTCGCAAAATGGGTGATTGTGGACGTGCTACTATATCGGGCAATAATCTAAATTAAACATGTGTAACTCCGCGAGCATCGCATATGAGTGCATGGAATATGGCGAGGCTAATATGGTCACAAGCATAATATTTGCAAGCATCGAAAAGGTTAATTAGTTTCGCTGATCGTTTGGCCGACATGCCGTTGTAATCATTTCGCGGCGATGCACACGGCGACCACTGAGACGCGCCATATGCAAATTGGTACATGTTGAAGATGCACGCAATAACTAATACGTGATCGAATATGAATATCATTAGAGATCAGTTTGGGGCAATGCGCGTGATCACTTAGATTTTGAAATTTAGAATTAATATTAATTTTTTGGTGCATTTGGCTTTCTGTTAGCTGATTTAAAAAGGGTAGTTATTGAAAGTAATTTTTTTGGCAGTAAAGTTTTACTAATTATTCGAAAATAATGTCAGAAATAATTTATGTTTTCCTCAATTTATTTTACTACTTAAGCAATAATTTTTGGTTTCAAATTATTACTTGCGTAGTTAATTCACAAATAAAAACTAATGAGTAATATTTGAAGTAAGTTTATTTCTTATAATCAGTTGTTTATTTTCACACAGTTTGTTTTTATAGTAATTTTTACGAAAAGATATATTCATGGGTTTTGCATACATAAACTGCATTGAATTATTTACCAACACATCACATTGCAATTTGTAAATAAAACGCATTAGTTGACTTGACTGGAAAATGAGTTGCCACAATAATGCAGGTATAATTATGGTAAGTGAGATTTTTCCTCTTCTTGCATAACACGTCGTGCGATGTGCGCGTTCTTGTTCTGTCGTTCAAGTGTTCTCATTATTCAGTTAGTTACATGATCGCGGTGCACTTGAAGATCATTTTACCGTCAGCGATATACGCCAATTAATTATTGCTACAATTTAAATAATAAAATCGACACCTTGATCTTTACATAAGTTCACTTATCATCATCGAGCCGTCTTATATGACCGGTGATTTTGTAATTAATAAAATGATTCACATTTTAATGTTGTTGTACTAGATCAGATCATCCGGGTTAATTGGCTGTGACATTCAAAACTATTAAAAGTTAATTAATATTGGGAATCTTGAATGATTGACATTGATTTTTAAATTCATTCGTGGTCAAAACAAGGAAATTAAAACTGAAATTTGTTAATAATGATGCATTTTATATTATTATTTGGTAATATTCACACCTTTTTATTGCAAATAAATTTATTGAAATTTTAAACTTAATAAACGATTAACCAACGTGTTTTCCAATGGAAAAAAGTGGAATACATCTTATTAATATTGTTAATAAATTTAATAGCAAATATTTCGTAAATTAAGCATGATGAGCACTCCTTCTTGACATTTAAAGTTTCATAGTATTGCACACGTACATCTGTACATGTTTTGGTTGTTGCTCCTAATCCACATTGAAATTAGCCTTCTTCGTGGTTTTCGTGTTTGTTGTTTTGCTATAAACTAATTCGGATACACAATAAATTCGTCATGATTTGCATAAAATGGTGCTTGCATTTTAAAGGATGTGAACCAAAAATTTAAAACAACCTTTAAAAATTACCAGCAGTAATTAAATTTGAAACATTTTATAAAATAACACAAATATTCTCATTCCGGTCCTGAGTAGGATGAACATGACCCTGACGAGAGCATTGATTTCGAATAAAATTTTACCTTAAATCAGAAAGAAGAAAAAACATGAAGAAGACGTGATGAAATCAAAAGTATTTCACCTCGAAATACTTTTTCGACCAAATAGCGTCAAAGAAATTTAAAGTGTGTAAAAAGTTTAATTAGATTACACTCATTTAAAGTGATCTTGAGACGATTATTAATTAAACTGGTTTTGGGCAAAAAATAATTATTTTATCTTTTTGTAAACAAACATCAAAATTCAGCTTCTAGATACCTCCTCAATACCAGATCAATAATATATATTTACAGATCAAACTGCATTCGAATATATTACGTAAGTTCATATAATAAAGATCCTCATCGACTCGAAGCGTTCACCGCTTAGCCTCTGGTAATACATCATAATGCTCAATAACAATCTCATGAAACAGTAGAAATTGCGACGTTGGTATTATAATACCATCGAAGAACGAACACTCACCACAAAAAAGCGTAATAAAAGTAAATGACTATATGGTTTAGTAGACCATCAGACACGAGTTGCTCTATAATCGCAGATATTGAACACACTGCGAACAAATAGTACCCGAAGAGATATGGTTTTTAATTTCGCGTGAAAGCTCACGAAGTGCTAATGTGGGTGCAGCTCACACCACATTACTTACCTCCAAGCTTCAATTATATCCTATTACAATTCACCGCTATTAATTTTTGTCCATACAATGTACACTAACAGAATGTTGAATTATTTATGTTTGCGTTGCGATAGTAACGTAGCAATTTCATTACTGTCCTAAAAATATAATGTGTGCAATTAAAATCGCGCGTATCATATTTTCATTTTCCAGTTGAGACATCAAATATTATGATGCATTATTAGTAACAGTATAGTAATAAATTTAGGTGTTAATTAACGTTTTCCTACAACAGTGCGCATGTAATATGCAATTAAAATAGTTGATTACAAACAGTTTCGCTAAATCACCTTTAAATTTTCACAAAATCTTCGAGCTGAACTTAATTCTACGATTCTGGGCAATTACCAAGTCGAGTAAATTGTTGCGAACAACAGTGTGTGCTCAATATTCCAAAATTTATGGACTTATTTATTACGTCTGCGGAGATGAACTTTTCATCTTTGATTTCATCTTGAAAAATTAAGTAATTTAATAGCCAATATAATATTGACTGGAACCACGATTATTTGCAGCATTCACTTTTAATTCACATCAATTTTACGTAACAAGCCAATATCAACAGCTTCACGAAGTAATTGCGAAAGTTCATCTTTTCACGCTTTGGGTAATATATTTTTTATAATTAAAACTTGGATGTAATTTTATCTCATATTTATTTCAATTCTTAAGTGTAGATGTATAAATGTAACTACAGACTAGTACTTGTAGGCGTTGTTGTTGTTATTGTTGTTGCGTTGGTTGTACTGTTGATGTGGGGCAGCATCAGGGCGGTATTGGCCATCGTCGAAGATACCACGCGCTTCTTCTTCACGGTTCTGTTCCAGGCCCTTGAGGATATCAGCTGGGATTGGTGGTGGAGTTGGGATGTGGGCACCCTGTGGCTGGTAACCGTTCTCATCAGCAGTGTACGTGATAGAGAACTGTTGGCCATCGGGGGCGACGAATTGGTAACTGCCTTGGGCAGCGGCGGTATCAGCATCCTTCAGGTATCCTTGTTCCTGGGCAGATGTACCATCATCGGTCTCATAGGCGTATTTGTATCCTTGTTCACCGTTGTTTTCGCTGTCGTAGCGGAGGATACGCGCATTGTTGTTGGAGTTGTACTGTTGGTTATTGTTATTCTGGTATCCTTGGTTGTTGTTGTAGTTGTTTCTATGGGGTGGGCCGTATTGGCTTGGTGGTTCGCAAGCAACCAGAGCCACAAGGCATGCGAAGACGATAAACTGTAAACCAAAATATTTAAGTATTATTTTTTACTAAATTTTTGGGATTGCACAAAACTTACTTGTTTCATCTTTTACTTTGTTTGAGATGTTTGATCTACTAGATTAGTAAATGATGTGTGGTGATGATCGAGATGTGTGCATGGGTATATATAGTGGGCTTCGCGCGGGTGGGGTACCCTCAAAAATTTGACGGTGAGATTCTCGCAACATTTCCGAAACGTAGCATTTCGTGAAGAAGTCGAATTGCAATTTTTAGCTTGCGGGCAAGGTCGTGAATCGTACAAATAAATCCGGGCCAGACGCCGCGTACGTACGTCTTGTTACTCCCATTCGTAGTTACCGTTTCCAAATTCGGCTGCCTCACGTTAGACAACGGCCATTAACAAAAGTTATCGAATCGAAAATCGGATTCACTTTTATGATTCTCGAGGTCTAGAACTATCACTTTTTTTTTTACTTCAAGTCAACACTGTCTCATCACAGGCATACACCAATATTGAGATGATTCAAGAATAAAATCATCTCATTAAAAACGAAGCAGAAGAAATCGTATTAGTATTTTAATTATGTGCATAAATTCAAAGCAGCAGCTTCTGTTCTTTGTAGAGGTGACTTATTTTTGCTGAGATTTTTTGTTTGATTATTATAAAACGAATTAATGCTCATTCAAAACAAAAATCTTCCTAGTTCATGTGAAAACACGCTCCATTATTATTAAAACCAGATGTTTCATGATTTAAAAGAAACATCCAAATTTGAATAAATTAAGATTTGTTACTTTTACAATTACACAATCATTACTGCTCAGGATGTACTTACAACTTCAAACTTTGATTGATCTCAACGTTTTTATGATGAAATTATTTTCTTTTTTGTAAACTCAAGTCAAGTGATGTTTAGCAAGCATATTCATACGTTGTTGTTTTTTATTAATGCATTAATATGTGAAAAAATAATACAAAAGTAACTTAAACCATTTTCTTGTTCTACATTTTACTCATTCTATGTCGTTGTCGACTGCATCATGTAGCGCCTGGTGAAATTAAAGAAATGCCTTTAGACATTATTCTATAATATAAAAAGACTGCTTCGCGTAAAACTCTATTGTGGGAGAGTCAGAAATCGTTTTATTCCGCAGAATGAAAACGACGGTGACTTAATTAAATAATGTGTTGCATAAAATGTGCATCAAACACGGCAACAATAACAATAACAGTAACAATGGAAGAGACGTGAAAGGTTTGCGTTTTGTGTGTCGATTATGATTCAATATAAAAAACCCAACACTCATGCACTTTTCAAACGTAGAAATCCGTACCAAGAAAATGTTATTGCAAATGTAGTCATTCGAATCTGAAAATATTCTTGTGTCAGTCTAAAGATATATTGAAGTGGATTGTGATTGAAACAATCGATTTTGCAAAGCTGGCATTCAATGATTCAATCAATAAACTTGTTAGACATAATTTTGGTTATGTTAACAACTAGGGCCTCGCAGGAATGCTGATTTTGGTTTTTTATTTGTTATAATAGCAAAAATTTGGCAAATAAAGACAAACTTATGCAATTATTATAATAGTTTACGCTCAAGTAGTTGATATATAAATAGTTTTCTACCTAAATGGCATTTACTACTTGGCATAAACCCGAGATAATTTTATTAGCTCGTAAATGTTTAAGGATGTTATATTTCTATTTCTGCGCCGCTTCTTTGTTCGATTTCATAAAAAATTAAAGCTTATGATCTATTGACGTCTTTGTGCCCGTGTTTTTCGATTAAATGCCAAGCAGGTATTTCAGTATGCGACAAACAATTATTCGAAATACCTTAACTACTCTGCGATCCTAAATGATGAACATTATTCACTATAAATTGGAGCCATCATCGCCGGTGTGGTATCTTCAGAAATTGATGTAATGTAACCTTGCCAATTTTAAAGGTTTATGTAACGTTCTCTCTTATGGTCGCTCGGTTATGTTGAAAAGGTCAGAAACATTTCTTGCGTCGCTATGTGCAGACTTTAACTTCTAAGGAAGTCATGCTTTTTGAATTAGATCTTTTACGAGCATGTTCCATAAATCTCTTCTCACAAGCATGTTGTAGGTATGTTGTTGATATGGTATCCTAGGAGGTATTTTGCCGAGAGGTAAAGTAACAGCACGTTCAATTGTTCCAGTTTACGTTTGTATGTTAACTCAATGATTCACTTGCACTTTCTTAGCTATAGGTAAACATATTTCTGTTATTGTAATAGAAATTATTACATTATAATGCCCAGCATTGAGATAAGTAATGATTGATTAGTAACAAAATGTTTCTCGGGACGTGAACTGACATGAACGTTAATCAATTAATAATATTTAAGAGAATGTAAATTTGGAACATTTGAAATTACGATGTTGAGAAAAATAACGAGTTGTTTAGAATAATTAATGTGTTTTAGACACAAGTGTATAAAAGTGCAACACCCACATGTCGCTTTCTAGTAATGTATAAAAAATCACAATAGAACGCACAAATTATACAATTTAACATCAACGAGATACAAAAAAGAAATAAATACAATCAGGTTTAAAATGTTTATTCAGTACGCAGAGTGTATATTTAAAGATCTATAAGTTTAGGTGAAAATAATTGGCAACGTGCGAATGAACCAAATATTAACGCACTGAATTTATTATGAACCAAACAGAACTTTCCTCTTTAACTTTTTAAATTACCACTCGTCTTATGAACAATAACTAAAAATTATCGTAATTTTACATATTGCATGTTATTAAGTGACTGGTGTTATTTTATCATACATTTTAGTATGATTTGTAATACAATTTTATTAAAATTCGAACGTCAGTTCAGACAAAACTTAAAAATATAAATTGGAAATGTTAAAGTAGCAGAGTTAAAGTAGATAGATTAAAAATGCTGGTATCTTTACTCAAACTCTGTAGAAGAGTGAATGCGGTGAGTAGTAAATCTACTGCTCAGGAGTTTTTAGTTGCGGTCATGAGAGGGCGCTAGGTACACGATTTTGGTTTAAATTATATGGTTACCTATGTTTTATATCCACTAGATGGCGATAACACCTTAAAACCGTAAAATAAATCACTACGATATTCAGTATTTGTGTAACTTTAACTAAATTAGTATAATATAGGTATATGTTATAAGATGTATATAAAGTTTGAACATAAATCCACACCACGTCATTAAACTCCTATTTTTTTTTCTTTATATTCGAGTTTATAATTGTTACATTTGATTATTAGCTAATTACGACCTAATAATAAATTACAGATTAAAACACAGATGGGATCATTAAACATACAAGTTTACAAGTATGTTTATTACTATCTCCCATAATATAAACTTTGTAATCTAATTGTGAAACATTATTTTCTTTGTTTGCCAGATTATATTTTACATCGGTCAGTTTATGAATATTTGGATTAAATCGTCGTATAAAATAAAAATCCGCCTTTAATGACTATGGTGTGCTACAAGCATTTCATATGTACTGGTTAATAATACCTAATTTCACTAATATAACATAATAATAAATCAATTAGTTTTATATTTCTGTTTATCAAAACATATTAATCAGTCATTAAAAAATTAATTAGGTTTCAAACTAACAACTTCCGCTAGCTTTATGACTGATACTGCAATGTTATTAATTTGATTATCTGGATACTTAGTTTTTAGTTTTAATTGCTTTTTTTTCAACAGAGAATTTGTTTATGAATTTGTACAAATTATTTTTGATTATATGGGGTCATTATTAGTATACCCAATTTAATTTTAAACTTTGAATAACGTACTTGCAGTGCCAAATGGGTTATGTACTTATTTATTGATGATTGAGTCTTTATCTTTTTATGGACCATTTTCTGCATTACGATAGTTTCAACAAGTTTATGCATATAAAACAATCATAAAAGTAAAGTGGATTACACAATTGATATAGGTACTTAATACCAAGTTACTCGCACTTACCACTCTTCGCTAAATTTATCTAAAACCGTTTGCAATTGCAAATAAAGAAGGATCAACTTGTACTTAAATAAATCAATACCTAAGTTATAGATACTTACCGACCAACTTTGACATTGCTGGATTATGGATGTGAATAAGCATGAGAAACTAGCTGCAAATTCGGCTGAAGGAATTTCAAGATCCACGAATTGATATCCAATATGCGCAATAATCACAAAAGAAAGTTTGCATCATATTTCTGAATCTATTACACACTAATTTCAGACCGATTGTAGGCAGATATCACCGGTCTTAAATTTCAATACCATTCATATTTTTTACCTCCATTCATCTCCGATATGGCATTGAATTCATAATAAATTTTTACTTGAAAAAAATATAACACCACGATGACATGCTAACTAAAGCACATGAAAGGCGTCGCTCTGATAGAGGAGCGAAATGAATATATTTGGGGTTGCTCTCACCGATATCGGCGTGAGGCATATTGGACGCATTGTTGATGTGAAACGCGCCATATGTTTTGGCGGCGTGTACATCAATTGTCACTCGGTCACACAATTGCCACGGTAATGTCCTCCACTGTATACAAACACGTCTCAAAATTGTGACGTCCGACACAATGCACGTAGGAAACGGTTGGGTAGTGGTGTCATGGATCGACAGCGCTATTTGGTGCTACAGGATGGTACAATGCTAGCGGGGTCGACGAGAGGCAAAATGAAAATAAACCAACATCAAATTGAAGAAATGTCACTCACTTCTTGATACAATAAACACAGCCATTCAGCACCAAACTCGAAATGCAAAAGTGCTAAAATGTTAGAGAGGTATTTCAAATTCAATTGAATCAAAAACTTTGATTCCCCATGTAAATTGTTGTAGAATATTGTTGGAGATAATTGCGTAGTAAATGTAGGCATCTAAAATGCATGAAATGTAAAATAACCTCCATAAATATGTCGGAATACCAAAAATATTGCTCGCGTGGCTACCGGGCTTGAGGAACCTTTTTAAAAATAAAAGCTCCGGGCCTCCGGGGCTTCAGGGCATGTAGTCTACTGCAAAAAGAAAGAAGCAAGCCCAAGCGTGCGTCCCAACATGTATAAAATGCTTTTATTTATATCCTGCAAGCCTCCGATGC